CTGAGCAATGGGATGCAGTGCCGAACTTGCGGCGGAGAGCCGCGAAGGGCAGATCGTTGCTGGTTAGTGCTGTTAAAGACATGAACCAGATTCTTGGTAACATCAAAAACGTTGCCGAGAATTCTGATGTGTTGCGGCCGATTGTTGAGACAATGACCAGTGCTGGCAACCTCGAGACCCCAAGCATCGAGGTTCTTTCGCCTTTGATCCTGGAGTTTTATGGTTTGGCTAGCCATCCCTCGCCAGAGCAAGCGGCCGCGCTGGCGCATCAGGATGCATGGGGTGTCAAACGATGCCTTACACTTCTGAGGCGCAAATGGTCTCGCCAGGAGATGCCTAAGGACCGTGATAAGAATTAAAGGTTTAATGGGCTATGCTTCCAATTCCGAGCAGCTAGAATTCGAGTTGTCTTCCTGATTGCTTTCCATTAAATTGCAGGATGCTCGAGCTGCTGAGCTTGTTCGCATGTACGAGAAGGGCTTCGCTATCTTCCTCAAGGTTTCGATCTGGGTGTAGCTGAGGCAAATTTAATTAAGAATATTTTCTCTAGGTTTTCGTTTCATATTGATAGTGCTTTAGGCTGGGGGCAATGCTGCGAGCCTCAAGCGTGCAGATCCTGATGATGATATTTCGGATCCTTATATCCAAGAGGGTGAAAGTGATTCTGTGGAGACCCCTCGCACGGCGGAGTCTAAGACGACTACGTCGGAGTCGGCAGAGGATAGCCTTGAATCTGCAGGTGGCTTCTCAGAGCATTTTTCTGTAGATGATATTGGGCCTCGAAGTTTGGACAATGCCCTGACTTCAGTGGTCGATGAGAATGAGAAGGCTTTGCCTTTGCAGGCGCCAGCTCCCCGGGAGCAAATGCAGGCTTTGCTGGATGCGGGTGTTGCCAAGCTGTCTCAGCTGCTTCTTTTCCGCAGCACAGAGGTTGCATAAATAATCCCGAACAAAATTGTCATTCAGAAGCATTGCTGCAATCATAAATCATAATTGAGATCATGTCTGAGGCGCAAGGCCAAGGCCTTTGACCAGGCGAAAGAGAACAATCCGGCACGTGAATCGGAAAGCATCCTGCCTTCACTTCAGGAAGCACAATGCAGTGGAAGTAGCTCTATATATGAATCTTGGAAACTTAGGCTCTGAGCCAGTCAGCCGGGCTCCAGTGCTTGCGACTGGGGTACGCCCCGATTGCTTGGAGACACAGATATGGGATCCGTTTCCTCCGGTGATTGACTTAGACACCCCGGAGAAAAGTAAGGTGAAGCGAGAGGCTGAGGACCTGGACCTCTCCCCGAAGCCAATGCAAGTCGAAGCACCCCAGCTTGCAGACCCAGTTGTATCTCCAGCCCCAAAGCCGATGGAAGTCGAAACGCACCAGCTTGCAAAGCCAGTTGTATCTCCAGCCCCAGAGCCGATGGAAGCCGAACCGCACCAGCTTGCAAAGCCAGTTGTATCTCCAGCCCCGAAGCCGAAAGAAGTGGAGGCATGCCTAGAGCCACTTGGGCACATCGCTGGAAGTATCTCAGCTCGTGAGATGACGAACCGAGGGCTTTTCTGTTATGCGGGCATGGTTGGAGAGGGCGAGAACCCCTTGGTTGCAAAGCCAGCGACATCCCAAGCCCCTGACCCCGCTTCTCCCGATTCACCAGAACCTTCTCCGAGCCCGAAGCCAACGGCCCTACTCTACAAGGAGGACCTCACTCCCGAGAAGGTCAGCGATGTTCAATAAATAAGTCTACATTGATTATAAATCTTTTCGATCTAATTCGATTTTCTTGATAGACTTCTTTTTGCATCCCTGGTGCAGGTTGTGATAACACGCAATGATCAGCTGAGCTTAAAGGCCAACGCCTCTACGGATGAAGCTGTCAAGGCTTCCAAAGGCCGTGGACGATCCCGTGGACGCGGCCGTGGGGGTCGTGGACTTGCTGCTGCGAAGAGCAGCAGCAGCAAAGGCGGTGAGGTTGAGGCCCCGGCTGGGGATGATTGGGCTGGTGAGGAGGGTTGGACACAGGAGGATTGGGCCACATGGACCGGTGGTGAGCACTGGACTGAGGAGGAGTGGGCCACGTGGACCGATGGCGAGCGCTGGACTGAGGAGGAGTGGGACGCATGGGCCGGCGATGAGGATTGGACAGAGCAGGCCACGGGCGATGATGGCGCCGCCAAGAAAAAGGGCAAGCGCGGACGTGCCAAGAAGGCTAACTCGGCTCCCCAGCCAGAGCCAGCAGTTGAAGCTGCCGGCAAGGCTAAGGCTAAAGCTAAGGCCAAAGCGGTAGCCAGGGCCAACGGTCGTGTTGCCCCGATCCCTGATGCTGGCAATGACGACTTCGACTATCCGCAGACGTTTGCCCGCAGATCTTGCCCGCCGATCCCGGGTTCCCAGGCGGCTTTGGTATGGAGGGGGATTACAAGGTCGTTTTGGGAGGAGATCCTACCATTCCTGGCTCGTGGGGAGCGAACGGTCGCAGAGGCAGGGTTCTTTTCGGGGGGTTCTACGATTGAAGTGTTGTGGTATGTGCCAGCAAAATGCCCTTTAGTGAAATATTCCCGGGGCATTGTCAGGCCTCCTACTGGACGTACGCTCGGATCCGCTGGGTGCACAGTGGGCTACAGCCAAGTGATGATGGCTTTTCCGAAGTCATGAGGATGGCAGCTCAGGAGTTTGTGATTCTTCGTCCAACCGCCAATCAAGTTCCTTTTCTGGATTGGTTCTCCTTCATATGAGTTTCTTCTTTCAAAGAATTTCTTAGTTGATTAATTATTGTTCGTTTCTCATTCTCTTTAAACCTCTAGGTGAAGGAAGCTGCGAAGGCAGTGGATGAGTCCGGATGAATGCTGAGAATCCGAATATTTCGTAGTTTTGTTCCTCCTCTAGAGGAGGATGGGGCTGAAAGAGGCAGCGAGCCTTGTGATTGAGTGTGCCCATTCAGAATCCTAGGCCCTGCATCAAAAAGCTTCCACAACTGTTCATTTGTAAGACGCAACGTAGATCTCATTAGCTGTGTTGGTTCATTTACTTAGGGCTGCGGGATCTTCTGAAGTTCATCTGGGGAACTGCATGGGTGCGCTTATGTGCAATAGCAACTCGTTCCTCGGAGCTGGGTGATGACAGTGGCTTCCTAGTGTGCGGATCACGCTGAAGCTTTAGAGCTCATTGCTGGAGAAAACAAGAGTGTGGTGCCACATTTGTCACGTCCCAGAATCCCACACATATCCTGAATCTCTCTAGGAGCTGCCTGCCTCTTTAAGAAGCCTGACTCATACGAAATGGAAGCATTTCTATCTGCAGGTACATCTACTCCTGGGCTTCGCTGCCGAATGGTCAAACGAGGCCTTGCAGGCCTTGCTAGGGCAGGCTTGCTGACAAGCCGCGATGACACAGGTAATAGCGCCACGATTGACCTGCCATGCTGGGCTGTGTGCTGATTCTGCTTGCAGACTTGGTCAGATGTGCACAAACATGAGGACATGTTGTGATCTGCAGTTGTGCCTCAGACCTTGTCACAGTC